GCGCTGCAGTGATGCTGACATGGTTGTGGGTGTCATGCTGGTATATACATTTCATATACATCAAATTTATATTTTACAAAGTGAGGAAAATTTGGTTTTCCTTTATATGAGCACGTAAAGTGATTTCAGGGTTTGCTTACGCTGAAGTTCTTTTGGTCCTTAAACTGCGCATTAAATACTCACAAAAAGATCCTCTCAAAGTAAAGCAAAGATGACATCATATAAACTAGTTGCATTTGAAATGGAACTTTCATTGATCTCCATGTTTCTAGGATAAACTCTGGCTCTCCATCAGCTTATTCCTCTCAAATGTTCTACATTATTCCGTGTAGGCTTACAGGAGTAAAACAATGTATGGTTATCACATCTAATTACATGCACTGCTAACCAATTACCAATGGAGAAACATCACGGAGTAAATAGAGAGAGAGAGGAGCTAAGCAAGGCAGACCCCCTGAGTGCAGTTTTCTTAACCCCACCTTTATCTGACTGGCCTTCCTTGGTGGCCTACAGTTGTTTGCCCTGGACCATTGAGCAGTTCATCATCAAGCGATGAACCGGTCAATACAAGAAGCACAGTCTCCAGCTAGCCAGCACTGATAGAGCATTTTTATCCAAACTCACTCTGGCTGACCGCGAGAGCGATGCTGATTATACAACTCTTTTGGCTCTGAGTTCTCTGCAGTTTTTTATTGCAACAACTTTGATTCAAGTCCTGAAAACTAATTGCTGATGTGCGGTGTTTAACAATGTATTTGTGTTGTACTGGCCTTTATGACTACTACAGAGTATGGCTGCACATGTGAAGTCCTGTAATATCTGCTATCTATGGTGCAAGTGGTGCAGCGGTCAGGTAGATGCCTTTGAACCTAAGAAACTGTAGGTTTAAGTCCAGGAACCTCACAATTCGATTTGATTTCAATTCAGGGCACCAAGATGCGGTTATAAAATGATTCTTAATGCATGTTGATTTTTCATTTCTATAGCCTCATTAAGTGTGGGTGATATGGCAAAAATACAGCATCATGATACTTCAGGAAATTTTCACCATGCACTACATGTGGTTTGATAAGTTGGAACAGACAAAAAAGGAACAGTAGTGCCATATTACTGGTATAAACAATATATTTACTATTAAAACCTTTGAATACAGTGATTTTTTTCTTCAATGATCTGCCATGAAACATGCAGTCTCTTTATTGGCATAACTCTGTACACTATTACAGATAAAGGATCCAAAAAGAGCTCCCTGGAGCCATAAAAGAAGCACCTTTGGTTTCCTTTAGGAACAGTTGCTTAAAGAGTGTGATGAACCCTTTATAAGCTTAAATAACCTCCACATACCAAATGAAAAGGCCAAAATACAGTGCGTCCAAGCCAAGAACCATTTAGGAACCTTCATTTTGGAAGAGTGTGCTAACGGTGTCTTACATCATCTGCATGTCTGACGGAGTTATGTTAGAACATACTCTGCATGAACATCAAGTCACTCTGTGGTGGATGTCGTTGTTATGAATACATCAATATAGTGGGTAGCACTGTGTGGCAAGAGAATAACGAGTAGGATGGAGCCCTATGTGTTTCTGAAGGTCTCTCTGTCTGTTTTTTTTGTGCTCTCTCCTCTCGTGCGAGGCCCCCCTCTTGATTTTTTTAAAGGAGCACTCCCCATAGAGACCACCACAGCATTACAGATTAAATATTTACGTCTTGGTTCAAACGAGTCCTGCATCTGCTCCGCGGGTCACCAGATGAACTGACGGTCCTGATCCTGCTCTGCGTGAGTGGACAGAGCTGAGAATTATCAGAGAGGCTAGATTACACAACATCAATAATAACATAACCAGTGCTGAGGAAAAGGGGGAGGGGGAATGGCTGCAGAATGTGCCAGAACTCCCTCTGGATCATCTGTACAATGTACAGCTACAGATTCCTAATTGGGTGCAGCCAGGCAGCAGCATAAGTATTAATGGGATAACTTTTAATCTGCTGGAACTGTGTGGAGAGCACACTGCTTTCTTCTGGGTTACCATTTCGTCTTGCTCGGTTCGTTTGCTTGTTGTTTGGTAGATTTGAATCTACCTGGAGATTCATTTCCCCATTCGTTAAAGAAAGAGAACAGTGCATTTTTATGAGAGGCTTAGTGCTGATCAGCTGAAATGTGTGAAGATAAGGGATTTTCCTTGTACTTCCATTTTACATTGCTATCTATGCACCAAGGCTCACTGATTCAAGAGTAGTTGCATGTCTTTTACCTTCTCCTCTGCAACTCTGTCCCATGCACTCTTTTGTTTCCCTCCCTTGCGCTCCAGGTCGTCATTAAATGTTGATGGAGATGAGTGAAACCAATAATCCTCAGACCTCACTGCAAAAACATTGCCAGAAATCAATAGGTTTGCATCAGTAGGGGGACGAAGGCTGGCAGAGAGAGAGTAAGAGAGAAAGAGAGAGAGAGAGAGGCACACACAGAGAGAGGGAAAGAGGAAAAAGCCTTTTCTATCAAATATTAATTGAGCAATCCCATGAGGGACAGAGGAGAATGCCGGTGATTCGCTGTCCAACCCAATTAAGATCCTACCATGTACCTCGCTTAGGCCTGCTGTTACTTACTTCTGCGGTCTAGCCATCAGTTGGTATGTCTCATCTAGAGAGAAGAGCTCAGCAGCACAGCTGAAAAGAAGAAGCCTTGTATGGAGAGCTAGCACATCAACCTAATTTTTTTTTGGTTTACTTTACTTATTTGCTAAAATTACTAATACAGATCTAGTAACACATACTATTTCTTGTATAATCCTTAGTTACTAAGGTAAATCTAGTTAAGATCAGTTAATTTGGATAAGTTTTACAAACTGAAGAGGCTTATTGCTTAAACGTTTTCCAGCACTCTTAGCAGTTTTGTTGGATTCTGTTAATTAGCTCTTATTTTTCTCATTTATAAATATAATTCTCTTTGTTATTTTTGCATTTTAGCAAACTCTCATGTTAAATGTGAAGTTTGGATGCATTTTGTGTTCAGGTTTACTGGTTCAGCCTATCACAATGATTGCTAACATAATAGCAAATATACATTAAGCTACCAAGGTCCTCATAAATGGATGATTCTAGTCTTATCTAAGTCATTTAATCATTACTTCATAAACAGTCCATGTTACAGAATGGAGTTGAAGTGATGGCAATACATTACACAAGAAGGAATATATGGTTCAAGTCAACCAAACTAATTCAAGAGTGAACAGAAGTTGAAAACTTGTGAGCTCAGAGAAAACCATGAATAATTATTGAGCTGTTCGAGTTAACCTTACTTGCTGCAGAAGTGTGGATCACTGAAAAGGGGAAAGTATCTTTAACTTATAGATAAGCTTGAATCTGTTAAATAACTTTACTTAATATTTTTGAGGCAACAAGTTTGCATGATTTTTTTAAGTCAACCAATTTAAGTGTACACTATAACTGCATGCATAGCTGTAGGAGCAGACAGCTAATAGCGTAGTTGTACAGAGCCAGCATGGGGAGACACCAGAAAAAAACAAGTAGAATTGGTTGCTTGTATTTCTCTGATGCCTCAGCATGAGCTCCTCACACATAAAAGCAGCTGAGACATCTTGGGACGCTTTTGAATTTCTTTGCTCATTTCTTCAAGGTCAGTGTGTCCTCATATAACTGCGTGTGGATCCATCGTTTTTATTAAAGAGGGCATCTTGAAAACATTTTCTGCATGCTTTGCTGAGATTTGTAAAATGATGATGGTGTCTTTTGTGAAGAATGTGCTTCTAAAGTAAGATACAATGCAAAAAATGACCTTCCATAAGCTTTCAATGAATAAACGCAAAATGTTTAGAAAAAATTATTTACCTGTTAGCTAGTATTGTGGCTGTATTAGCTTCAGCTGCCTGTGTTCCTACAGCTGAAAGGGAGGAAACTGGAAAGTGATGGCATAAAAAACCCAGCACCACCCACACTGTTTAAACAAAAGGTACAATCATTCCAAGCAAGTTATAAGATTACAGTCATATGCAATATTTTGGGTGTCCCTGGTCAAATGATGTTTTATGAAAATGTGAAAGGGACATAACTTTTGCCCAGGCCACATTTTATGTTTTATTTTTTCAAATATATTAAATGCAGCAAACAAATTTGCAGAAAACATGCCCTATTTAAGTTCTCTGTAGGGGATGCGATAACCTATTTACACTTAGAAATAAACAAAACATGTACTTTGATTAGAGATGTTCCAACTTTTGCATACGACTGTACATGTGTTTTGTGTATTTTGTTGTTTATATTGGAGAATACTGGATTGCTACGTCTGCGGTAAATCAGAGTTTCTAGAAGCAGTTTTGCTGTCTGGTTCTATGCCCTGTGGAAATCTTTGAGAGATCATTATTTGCACCTTATTTTAGAAGTATTCTACAAAATCATTTAAATCACTTGTACTCTTTGGGATAACTAGGGAATAGATCAAGTTGCCCTGATAGCTACTTTCTAGGTTGCAGTTAGAAGTCTGAAGTGGGAGTAAAGGCTTCAGTATTTATTGCTTTTTATTTATCTAAACACAGCATGGATCATATTGCTATTGGGTCCAGTTCTCATAGATCCTCCTTTGCTAATAGCGAGTGATTCTACAAGACGCATGTTATAAGGGTTTCTTTCAGTGTTGTATGAGGTGCGTGAGGCAAATGTGCAAAGTAAGAACAAAAGAGGGACTGTGTGTGAAATTCACCTTGCATTTTTTATGTAAGCATTATTGTTTGGTTGTGTATGGGCAGTGTTGGCGTGGTGACCATTGTTGGTAGAGATTCTGACAAGATAACTTTGCTTTTTTGTTTTTGTTTTGTTTTTTAAAGCTGAACATAAACAAATCATATTCTTGTTCTTTCGTTCCTTACATATTGTGTTTTGTCTCAACACCACCAGTTATGCTTGTAATAAGATGGCATCCAGCGGGGACTAAAAAGTGTGGTGCCCTGCCTGATATTGGTCTGTGTTTGTGTTTGTGTTTGTAGTGCTGGTGCCCAGCCCCGGGTCTGCTGCTGCTCGGAGATGCGGCTCCATCTACAAGGGCTTTGCTGAGTGTCTGGTGGCCCTGGGAGACAGTCTGTCTGTCAGCAGCCAAAAAGACGACGACACGCAAGAAATCGACTCCATCTGCAGGTGTGTATGCTTACCTACAGTGATTCACTAATACACACACCTAGCAGTGGGAATCAGTGCGTAACAAGTCATAACTGGGTCTGTATGAAAACCTTTTTGGCTGCCCTTAGTTAAAGACACAACCACAATATAAGTTCAGCAGGGCCTGATGTACCAGCAAGTTTCTAATAGGGCCATGTGATATAATAGCAGAAGCTGTAAAATATGTATGAAACGGTGTCTTTGTATTATATGTTAGTACTAGATGAGAACTCTTACAATCAACACAGCACCATACCCAACAAGCATTTATTAAACTGACATCAACAACTGTGCATCAGGTGAACTGGCAGGGTGGCCAAATAACATTCAAGCTAGTTACATTTAATGAGGGAATGTTCAAGTCAGTTTACCAATACAGATCTTTCAAACTGGCTGCTTCAGTCATTTAAATGTCTGGTTTAACCATGCATATGCAAGTCAACTTTATCATCATCTTCTCCATACAATAAGAAATAATAAGGACCAGACTATTTCCGATTCATCACATTATTATTATTATTATTATTATTATTATTATTATTATTATTATTATTATTATTACAAAAAACATTATGACCATATCTGGAGGCTCAAAATTCAAAATATATTCACAGCTAATTCTGCTGTACTGCAAACTGAAAGCTTGACCAAAATAATGATGCATAGAATTGGTTGCTAAGCAGTGATTGGAACGTTAAAGGCTCCTGCACAGCGTACAGATTTGATAGAATAAAACTTTCACCATCATTTAGTGTTTTCATGTTTGATTAGCTAACTCTTCATATACTCTGTGTTTTCCAGCTCAAAGGTACAACATGAAATAAGTTAGTTAGGGTTAGTAACATTAGCTGAGGTGAAAACAGACAATTAGCATTTGTCTGATTATATTAAAGACTTTAGATTGAGACCTTTCTTTGTGTATACTATAAGCTGTGCCACCTACTATCAATGCTGGTGGTCTTGTTCTGGGTGTAATGTAGTACAGTAATAGCAAAATGCTGAAAGGCTTGCTGTGGCTCCTAGAGAAATAGAGCAGTGCTGGAACTCACTGAACAGTGGCGCCGGGTGATTCGTAACCTTACAGCCATAAGAAAATGATGCACTTATGCACTGATAATGTAAGAAGCAGAGGCGATTCCCAGGTCCCCAAGCATGGGCCTGTATGTAAGCACATAACTAGACACTACGCCACTGATGAGAATCACACAATATGGTATTACTATGATACTTGAGCTCTGATTCAGTTCTAATATGATATGATAAGCTTTACAATATGACATAATGTGAGATATTCTGATTTATGCAAATGATGCCTCCAAAACAAGGCATATCATCATAATATTTAAATACTGAGATGGGTTTCTGTGTATTGATACTATTCTGTCACCCAAAATATCGCAATACTTGTGTTAATGTTTTTCTCCTACCCCTACACACCACATGTATACTCTCAGACACAAATGAAAGGATATGAGGAGTATATATCAAGGAGGCAGTTTCTTTAGGCAGATATACAGAAAGCAGCTCCATTTCTACCTACATAAACACAGTAAACTCACTCACACCTCAGGATTATTCATCATGCTCCACTCATTATGTTGTCACTGAAAGAAATAGGTGATGTAGAGTAGCACGGTTCACTTGACACCTGATTCTCTCACTATCTGCTATTGTTTCTCTCTCTCTTTCTCTCTCTCTCTCTCTCTCTCTCTCTCTTTCGCTCTCTCTCATGCTCTCCTCTCTCTCTTTCTCTTTTTCACTTTCTCTTGCTCGTTCTCTTTTTTCCTCTCTCCCTTTCCTTGCTCTTCCCTCCACTCTCCTCCTCTCTCATCCTCTCTCTCTTACTTTCTCTCTTGCTCTCTCTCCTCCCTCACTCTTTCCCCTCTTTGTCACGTTCTCTAGCTCGTTCTCTTTCTTTCCTCTCCACTTTTCTTGCTCTTCCCACCACTTTCCTTCTCTCTCTTTCTGTCTCTGTCTCTCCTCTCTAACTTTCTTTTTTGCTCTCTCTCCTCCTTCACTCTACCCCCTCTCACTCCTCTCTCTGTCTGTTCATCTTTCTCAGCTGTCTGTTGAATCCTGACAGCCTTTCCCATGTGTTCCATGCGTTTAAGTTGATGGTCTAATTAAAGATTGAGTCTCTGTCTGTCTGGTTCTTTCTCCATGTCTCTCTCTCTCTCTCTCTCTGCCACTCTTTACTCCATGCATCCTGAATCCATATTTATTTTGTCACATTCACGTGTGCTGGAGCTGCTTAAGTATTCATTGTATAGCAGTAAGCTATTCTTTGAAAACACTGTGCCATGTACTCGCAGTCACACTTAAAGTGTTCCACACTGCTGCTCTACTGAACTCACTGAGTGAGTAGCGATCCTGACAGCCGCCTCATAACATTCAATGTGATTCAGTCAGAGCACATTCATGCAACCTGTAGGGACGTAGCGGGGCCTCCATGTTCGTTTAAGGTTATTCCTTAAGGTACCAATTAAGGTATTAATCTTGCCACTGGGCTCACAATAAAGCATGCACGCTCACACATACACACACTCCTATGTTCACTACACATTTGCTCACAGGAGTTCATTTCTTTTAAGAATGCGCCTGTTCTCCTGTCTAATCTAACAGGGGCCTCTTCAGGAACAGGAGTGTTTTCCCAGCAGAGCAGAAGTTTCAGTTTTACATCTAGGCCAAGGCTGCTCCTTTTCGTCCCTCTCAGGAGAACGAGAGAGAAATTTAAGCACAGAATTACAATGCCATGAGATCTACTGTTATTATAGTATTACTTGACTGCTAAATGTCCTTTCTTCCTTTCTTATCCAAACACGAGCATCATAATTGTGGCAACCTATTATCACTAGCAAGTTAATATTTAAGGATATTACTTTTTGCAGAGGTTAGACTGGTATTGTGTTTTGTTTTTCTTTTTTTTTGCATATTTAGTGACATCATACTGTGGCCATGCTTCATAATTCACGTGTGATTCAGCATTAATCATGCATGTATTAGTAGGGCTGTCATGATCATGAAATTTTGTCTGATGATTAAGCGTCATGTAAATAATAGCGATTTTTTTCTTGTTCATTCTGTACATCTATTGAAGTATAACTCAAATGTGGCCATATTGGCTTATTAGCCCTCTTGCTTCTCAGGTATGTTTACTATGTACTTTCACACAAATGTCTTAGTTACACAGACTCATATGTCTCAGACACAGCTGATAATTTTAAGAGTGAAAATACAAGCAAACCTCTCATTCTGATAGCATACATGCTAAACATTAGAATTAGCTATATGGCTAACAAATAAATATTACTCAGCATTGCCCTGTAAACATGCCTCAAGGCCCACCTATGTATTACTAGAAAGCATGAAGGCCCACAGAAAAACAAAACTTTTTTGCTTAAAAATATTTGGAAAATTTTCAGCACAGTTATGTTTGGGTGCCAACCCAACAAAAAAAATCAACAGATTAGATTAAATTGAGCTTGCTTTATTTCCAAAATCGTGCAGAATGATGGCAAATTAAGTGAAATGTCAAGGGGAGTGTGTTTTGTTTCTAGAGGCAAGGAGTAAAAAACTGATGAAGCTGCCTTGGTGCACCATTTTTGCAGGACTTTACCATTTGAAAACATTTAATATTCCTTTTTTATTGATAAGTAAATTAGTTCTTTACTGATTTTTATGACAAAGTGCCATCAAAAGCTTACTATAGTCCGCTGGCCCACCTCAGTATTGGCCTGAGAACCAGCATTGGGTGCTTCACAGCCCACCTGTGGTCCATGGCCCAGTGGTTGAGAAACTCTTTGTTTTTATTTACATTTTACTGCTTTCTTATTTTTACATTTGCCTTATCCCACCACACTCAATTTACATTTCTCTTGTTGTGGCTTAATATTATTGTGAAATCTAATGTGGAAATGATAAGTGGAAGTGATAATTGCAATAATTTCAAAGCAGAGGCCTGCCATTTATCAGTTCTTTATACTGCTACTTAAGTTAAAGCACAAAAGTACAATATCTATTAAGGAGAGCTGTGTGGCTGCAGATGTGACCAACTAACTGTAAAGTTTTTCCTTAATAGAACGTGTTCATCAAAGAACATAGCATAATACCCATAATAACTCAAAGCACTTTTACTTTTGATACTTACTTACATTTAAAAGTAATTTTGTACTTTTGTATTGAAGTATAAGTACAGACAGAGAACTTATACTTTAACTGGAACAATATTTTAGCCATGCAATATTTACAGAAAGGCTTTAACCTACAGAAATCTGTACATAATCTGAAACTAGTGTTGAATGAAGACAATATGTATGTTGTTTTCCAGATCTCATGAAATATTATTGTTTTAATATTGTAACAGTGAATGCATTGGTACAATTGTGCATTTCACTAGTTTATAACATAGTGTATGTTTCAAGCTAGGAATATTTTTTTATTTGGAATGATAAGCAGTTGTCTTTTAGGGCACAAGTTGGTGAGTTAATGAAGAAATTAAAAATTATGTGGGAATTTGTATAAAGAAGAGCTGGTTTTCCTTTAGAAAGTAGAAAGAAAGTTATACAAGCAGAAGTTTTAGCTGTGTTGGATTATGGTGATGTATATGAATGCTCCTTCAGTACTGAAATCTTAGGTGCTATCTTTCACAGTGCACTTTCTTGTATGGCTGGTTATAGACCTAAAACCTATCACTGTGAAGTTGGCTTGTCACATAAGAAGAAGGCAGCATTTATTGTTTTTTATTACAAAGCTCTTTTGAAACAGCCCCCGCTCTACATTTTAACATTCCTTACAGTCAGAACAAATAAAAAATGTAACAGACATAAAGCAATGCCCTGACACAGTAGACTAAATGGTAAAAGATTTTTTTCTCACTCAGTTGAAAGTTATTCTACTTTCTGCCTTGTTTTATTTATTTTGTTCAAGTTTTATTTGATCTATACATTTTATATTATTCTGTTTTAAATGTGTTCTTAATGTTAACAGAATGTTGTTTTATTTCCATTTACTATATTACTATATTGTATTTTATTGTATGTCTCACTGTAGATGAGACCTTGATTTATGTAATCCCAGTGTTACTGAGCTCTGTTAAAGTCTTAGTAGACTGATTAATCAATGTGATGACCAGTTATGAATCTCAGTGTAACTGAGCTCTGCTAAAGCCTGAGTAAACTGATAAATCAGTGTGATGATCAGTTATTAATTTCAGCGTTACTGAACTTTTTTGTGGGATGATGGAACTGAACAGCCTCGTCAGTATTATGTGTTCACAAGTGAGAAGCACAGCATCTGTGTTGAACTGGACATATGAGAGTCAAACTAATGTTGAGAATTCTGTAACTTAATTTAAATAAGTGAATATTTCATGAAACATATAGAATTACATGAAGAAAACTGTCAAACAGCACCTGCAAGGAAGAGTGTGAATTAAGTAAAAATGACAAGAGAAGAGTTTTTTATGTATCGTAATTGAATACATTACTGAATATATTTCAGTGTATTCAACATTTAGCCATCACTATTTTTTCAAAGTTTTGTGCCCAAAACTGTCCAAATGGGAAAATATGTATGAAAATTATCAATAATCATAATATGTATTTTATACATATTATCATATGTATGAAAATATGTATGAAAATTATACTAAATAGCAATATACAGTACTGTGCAAAAATCAGAGATTGCATGGAAATGTTCTTCAGAACTAATATGTAGTGTTCTTAACTAGGTCTCAGTCTCATAAGTTCCATTACTTGGGAACAATGCCTCATAAATCTTATGTTGTCTTGCAACTGCTGGCATAAACTGTTTATAAATATTTAACTATTGCTTTATGAATACATTATCCATTGCCTATGCATGTTTATGAAGTCCCTATGTTGGTAGCCTTCAATTTTATTCTCGCTAACCTTCAGCATAAAGACAATTTTAAGTATTTGACTTTTTTCAGCTATAGCTAATTTCTCTTCAGCTAATAAATAGTAAACTGTGTCTGTTGCAGGTCTTGGGACAATTTCCATGACTGTGCAAACTTGGCCATGGCTGGCTGTCCTGAAGAGGCAGCTGCCGTGTGGCAGTCGCTGAGACAAGAGTCCAAAAAGATGCAGTTTTCCGGTAACTTGTACGACATGTGCTCCAGCCGCAGCCAATCAGCAACCACCACCAGGGCCCAGAACGCGGACAAGGCCAATCAGGAGTCTCTGAAAGGACATGCCAATCATATAAGCCCAGCTCACAGCATCTTTCTTCTCTCTTGCTTGTGTTTACTGCTCATCTATCCATGGATATAAGCCAAGTCTTTCTCCTTACAGAGACTTACAGAGTAGAGCGAACATCAAAGAAGCATTGATGGACTGGCGTTTGACGCTGACACTTGTGTAAAGATCACATGCTGTAAATAATATGATTTTGTTTTTTCCCACATGCCAGCAAACACATACACACGTATACACATACAAATGCAAAATTAATTTCAGATGAACAAGTACTTCCCTCGCAGCCAGATGAGAATCCTCCAGGGAGATGCAGCATGTGCGGAATAGCAATTCCAAGCGCTGTTTACAGTATCTGAAAACCCACAGTGTTGTAGACTTGCAGGCGAAAGCCTCAGCTCTCTTAGCTCAAACACCTACAACCCTCTTAAGGCCAAATTAAACTGCTAACAATACGGGCCGCTAGCTGGAGAAGCCGGAATCTCTGAAGATGAAATTAAGTAGCTGCAAAACATGCAGGGCTGCAGGAGGCAAAGCAGCATAAAGAAGCCCTGCCAAAACCCGTTATTTATTTTTCCGAGAGGATTATCAGAGGGGATCACTCAGAATAAAATTAACCCAAAGCAATAGAACGCACCTGCAAACAAGGCTGGGGAAAACCGCTGAGGGTTTCTGAAGTTCACATTTTCGGCTCAGTTTTGCAAGCTTGCTTTGTAATGACTGCCATCTGCAAAAATTCATTTTTGCCATTTTTATACTAAATAGCAATATACAGTACTGTGCAAAAATCAGAGACCACCATTCATTTATTGAATTTCAATCTAAACAGTCAATAAGTACAAGCTATTCATTGTTGTGAGGAGATATTTCAGATTAGATTATATAAGATTATATAAGATATTATACTTGCATTATGAAGGGGAAAGTCAAAGAAAAAACTGGAGCTAAAAAAATTAAAAGATACAGAGAAAATGGGACAACTAACAACACTACAACACCTGGTACACCAACAAAACTATCACCATCAGATGAATAAAAATAAAAGTTTTCATCTTTGAGAGAGAGGAAAAATCAAGCTGCTCTCTTACTTCAGATCTAAAAAATCCACAGATTTTTCTGTCCATCCTTCCACTGTGAGAAGACAACTCAGCACTATAAGTCTAAAAGGATGTGTAGCTGTGAAGAAGCTGTTACTGAGAAAAGGAAACAGACAAAACATGAGCAAAACAACTGTTTTTCTCAGAACAATGCACTGACCACTCCAGAGTCCAGACCTCAACATCACTGAAGGTGTTTGGAATTACTTTGGAAGAAGAAAATGCAACCACCTTGTAAGACTGAACTTTGGAGGTGTGGAAAAACATCCCTGCAGATTTCTTTGAAACCATGAAAGCAAGTTTCCCCAAAACAAGGAAAGCTGTAATAAAGCTAAAGGGTGGACGCACTAAGTTCTGAAAATTGCGGCTTCTGTGTAATTTTCTGTGAAACATGTTTTCTGCTTTTTCCCTAATGCTGAAAAATCAAGAAGGTGGAAAATGAAATAAATGAAGGGTGATCTCTGACTTTTGTGTAGTACTGTACATTATCACGGAAACGATGTCCTTGTTTATCTTGTGTATCTAAAATGTGTTTATAAATGTAAATGTGACTTTGACACGTCAACTATTTCCACAAATGTGCATATTTGTGTGCAAAAAGAGAAGATTGCTTTCAAAAGAGCCTGTACCATGTGAAGGAAATGTACTGAATAGTAGAATAACAGAGAGAAGGTTTAGTTCATTTTGTCTCTACCTGAGGCAAATCTGTCAAATATACTGCAGCATCTGTTGTATGTAATGCAGTTAAGGCTTGTGCTGTTTCAGAGATCAGTAAGCATTTGTGTATCTTGTAAGCATTTGTGTTGGTGAGCAGCCACGTAAAGTGTGTTTTCACTGTCGGCTCACATTCCCTCATCTAACGCACTGGCATTGCTCTCCTCAGCATTCTTCCCTCTATTAGGTTTCTACTTACTTTTCTGTTTTAATTGGAAATTAATCATGTTTACGAATACTGTAAACTCATTAGGGCTGGCAAAAACGATTTTTCCGAGCAAAGAGCCAAAAAATTCCACTTGTGTCTCAAAATGTGTTTATGCACTGTATAAATGTAGTTACTGTTAAATGAGATTTATTAACCTTTTCAGATATGTATTTAAGCTCTAAACAAAGTCAAATGACCATCGTCCCAAGATGTAAGCCTAACTGTTGGTCAGCTTTTACTAACCTCTTAGGGCCTGTATTTAGGTCTTCTCTGGTGGTTCTTGGCTTGGATATACAGTTCTATTAAAATCTTTAATTGAACATTTACTTCATGTGAAGCTTTTCAACCGTAACACATTTCATTTACAGAAATGTTACTTTAAAGAACCATTCACTGAAATGTTCCTAACGGTAGCAAAAGTGATTCCTTTCTGGTTCCATTAATCACTTTTATTTTTAAGGAATGTAGTTTATAGTTACTGAGTAACACATATTAAAGGTGATACAGATTTTTCAAAATTTTTGCATAAGTCACTGGTCGAGATGACAACTCATTCAGAGTGGTTTGATGTGAAATGGTTCATTGTAGAGAAATTCTGATTTCTTTACAGTGGTGGTGATAGGAACCAGGGGTCGCGATGTCTACAACACAAATATAACCTCTGAACCTACACGTCTTATATTTATACATTACTGTGGAAACATTTTAGACACCTGCGCAATTACATTTAAAAGCTATTAGGCAGTGAGCGTTTATTTGTTCAGACAAAGCACTAATATTAGAATAAATACAAATAGCATTATACAATAAGTAGTTATTTATGTTTGTCAATGTTTTTGTGTAACTTGTTCTAAAGCTCTCATTGATAAAGCCCAGTATTAACTGTAGTTATCAGTTAACACCTGGTTTGACTAATTAATCCTTCATTATTAAATCAAGTGTGCTGGTGTTGGAATTCAAATCCAAAATCAAATCCATGTGATTGCTTGAGGTGTCCAGAAGAAATCTGGAACCAAACATTGTTCGTCAAGCTTTTGAAAATAAGAAATTCCTAATACTTTTTACTGTATTTATGTTTATTTGCATCTATTCTAATGCTACACTGTGTTTTACAAGCACAAACACACTTATAGCCAAGGTAAATGGTTTTAAAAAATATGCTCAGGACTTTTGCACAGCACTGTATGTAATGTTGAAAATGGTAAAATAGTGGTAAATCTGAAAAATATGATTTGTATGGGGACTATTTTGCCTTACAGCACAGTTCATGTAGCTCTCCACTATGAAGGTATAACCAGTTAGGCAAAACGTTATGTCAGAATTATAAAAATCTCATAATGCTGTGTAAGGCAGCATATTCATAATTTTGTGTAAAAACTTTCTGTGAGGGAGCTTTTTAGAGGCATTAAACTCTTCAGACATCTGGTTCCTATCACCACCACTGTGAGCAATTCTGACTCTGTAAATTTCTCTAGAATAGCACACTTCACATTAAACTACGCCAAATGATTTTGTTTACATCTAAATGATAGAAATAAAAAAAATGGTTGAATTCCTTTTTTAAGAGTAATAACAATAAGCCCACAGTTTAAGGGGTTAACCTTTGGTATGCTCTGATTTGGCTCTTACTGAATTAGGAAAAGGTTCTACTCATGACTACAAGGGCTAAATGCAGAATGCACATCAAATTAAGAAATTCACATTAGATTAGGTCATCTTTAAGAATATGAATAAAAAATGTAATATTCTGAATAGATGTAATATACTGTTGCATGCAGAAGCCTTTTTTCTTTTCTAAAGAACGACTCCACCACCTGTGCTTGGTGTTTTCAGTGCTCCTTGGAGAGATAAAGGGGGACGCCACAAAGGGCGAGAGTTCATTACAATTCTGCTCTCTTTCCTTTGAAGCTCGGACTCTTTATCATATCACTGTCCATCAAACTGGATGTTTATGTAGAAGCCTCGGAATGAAAGGGGCTTCTCCCATTGACTTTCCATGGACTCTCATACTGGACAGTGCACATCCAGACTTCACAGACACCACCAACCAGAGACCTCTTACTGGCTGTCCAGCTTTAGCCAGTTTGTACTGAAACTTTTTTGTCAAACGGAGGTTTCAAAAAGGCTGGATCATCCGAGGGACAAAAACAGTTCAATTATACAGCTTTGTAAACATGTTTTGTAGCCTTTTCCTTTTCTCGCATGACTTTGTCACATGCAGAGATGATGAATAAAAGGTGCTGAGGGCCACATTTCAGCTTGACGTCTGGCCTCAATGTGGCACACAGTCCATCACTTTCTTGGGTGAAAACATACTCTCTGATGCTCCACTTTCTCTCTCTCTCTCTCTCTCTCTCTCTCTCTCTCTCTCTCTCTCTCTCTCTCTGACACTGCTGCTGCGTGTAGAGTGCGTCCTCAGTCAGATGAGCATTACTTTGCTGGAGATGTGAGGTTACAGTGAGCTGAACACTGGGCTCTGTGTTAATGCTATGCCATATTGCGTTCTGTTTCCTCCGCTGCTTTCGAATGCCATCTTTTTTTCTATTCTGCCTCTCATAGGCATGAATATTTCATGCATCCCAGCTGCTTCCGTAAACATAGACCAGTTAGCAGGATGGAGATCACCCCTCAGTGCTGCTGGCTCCTGCCCAGAACACACATCCACACAAACTTCAACATGGGTACGAGCACATGGCTGCTTGTTCTACATCAATTACTTTCATGCTCGCTCTGAATCATGCCGGAGTTTGAGTATATAGCGCCCAAACAAGCACATCTTGAAAACATAATGTGAATTCTGGGAGGATTTTTTTTGTAGGTCATCCAAAGTTAAAGGTGCTGTTAGGTCAGATTTGTATATTCAAATAAGTATTACAAGTGGAGATGGCATGACACCACTTTTTCTTTTCTGATACTAATTCTCATACCAAAAACCTTGAGTACTGACTGAATTCTCATCTTTTTTTTCTCATCTTTTTTTTTTTCTTTAACACTACTCATTTCTAAAATGAGTGATTTCTAATTGAAGCACTTCACTTAAAAGGCTGATATTATGGACAACTAAGTTTTAGAAATAGAGTTTGATTAAAAACGTATCGTTGACTGCCAAGTCCAGACAGTTCACGAATGGAAACTAAGCTGCAAAAACATCCCATTTTGAATCCACTGTATGTCCATAATATCATGAAAACTAATGCAGTTACATATTTCTGCATATTCAGCCTATAGCAGTTTAGCTCCGCCCATTCACACTGAAGTTATAAGCAGTGTTTCAGCCTGGACTTCTTTTTAAATGAAGCAACATATAATGCAGCAAAATCAGAACAAAGGCTCAGTATCAAAAACAGTCTGTGTAATTCTAGGGGATAAAGAGAGGTTGAAAAACGATCATGTAAAAAATTATTATTTCTGTTTTGGATACATAAAACGACTCCATAAGTGGACCTCAGGGGAAAAAATAAAATGCTAGAAAATTGTAGGACAGCCATGTAAAAGTACCACTGTACTGCTGGCAAAGAAAAATATGACATGACAAAAGTGCTGTCACAAATGGAACATAAAAAGATGTGCAGCACGGAGGCTAGACAAACGCAAGACCAGAGAAAGGTACCCTGAAACAAAAGGGCAATTTACAACAAAGACAAGACTAGAAACACCTGGGAAGGTGGGGTAACAAACAGTAAATGGGTGAAAATACTAACAGGTAGGCAGGACTAGGGAGGAGACTGGAGAGGGCAGAGCTAGAACAGGTAAACTATGACAACTGCAGCTATTTTATTCAATTAAATTCTTTCACAAAAAAGAACAGTTATATTACTTACTAGATTATTTAAATTGTAAATGTAATAGACATAGCCGGCTATTCATTGTTCTTATGTTAACATTAAGCTACTTTTCAGCTCTAGGTACAGTGGCCCCAAAAACATATTTGCACACTTCAAGCATTTAAACTTTTGGGAAACACTGAGGCTCTTTAGGCTACTCCGTAAAAGGTTTATTTTTTAGTTTAGAGAAAAACACTTTTAGCTTTCCTGAAAGTGATAATGATAGACTTTGTGTGAAGAAGAATCCAACGTCAAAGTCTGGGTTTGTTTTTCTTACCGTAGTGTTAGTAAGCTGGTATTC